GGGAGGGAGGGAGGGAGGGGGGGAGGCGGCCTATAAAATTAATGGCTTGCAAGCCATTCGCATCACAACGCTCAACGCAAACGGGAAACTACAATGAAACTCAAAGACATGGAGACAACTCGAAACTTCCACCGGACATCAATGACGAGGGAGTTCATGGCCGTTCCATTAGCCGAACCGATGATCGACATTCCTCTGCGGGTACTGCAATGAGCATGGAAGCCCAGTCCTGTGTCCCACAGACCCTGCATGGAGTGCGGTCCTGTGTTATAGCTCCTGTTGGAGATTGGAAGGCGTTTGTCCGGCGTGGTCGAACCCTTCAAGGCTGCGAGCCCAGAACCACATCACAGGACGATGCAATCCTGCATACTCTGAATACAAAATCACTTGTCTTTACTAAGTCCCTTGTCACCAGGTCGTTAGGTAGCTTGCCTGTTGATCCTCATCGGCAGGTCTCCTCTGATATGCTTGTCGTGTTTTCTAAAGCCGAGATCCGACTGGGAGAATACTCCTTCACGTAATCTCATGCATCCGATTTCCTCGAATCCTAGAACAACTCAGCAGAAAGCTGCTGTCTTGCATCGAGCATGCTCAGGCTCAAACACAAACTCAGTCGCTCCAGCAGAAAGAGAAGAATGTTTCCCATTCCGTATGTCCTGAATACGTCAGGAGATCAACTTCAAGCGCTGGACAAAGATAGTGTTCAGCGCCGGTACACGTAGCTCAGCAGTGCACACTCATCCAACGTAGCTTTTGGCTTACAGCCCGGACGGATTCAATCCTGGAGAATTTCACAAGGACAGTGGCCGCGCAGACAAACTGCAGCGTGAACCTGGCCTCTCATATAGATTGCCTTCGGCAACCATGTACACCAAAGCTTGTGTGCTGGCTACGTCCGTCAACTCATTCTCTTTGACATTTGAGCCGAGAGTTGTGGGACAGCCATGAACCTCAGAACGTGTGAAGCCTTGGCAAGGCAGGTCATTCGCGTTTACTGCAAAGAGCTCAGTTGAGCACGGCACATGATGGTAAGTGCACGTGTTGGAGCTGCACGTCTCTCAAACGAGTGATTTAAGCAACAACGCACCTGATGCGGCGCAGAGCAATAATTGGTCTATGTCTCGCGCTATAATGCGCTATAAACAGGCAAGTAGAAGACCTTGGCATTCGCATGAGTAAACGGATCCAGCATTCCAGATTTCGGAACCGCTGGCAACCGCTGTGACCCAAACATGTTTGGAACCGCACAACACACCATGCCCTGGTGATGCGTAGAGCATTGGCTAGAGGATCTATCTGCATGGACTGCAGTGAACATTAATTAACTGAGCAGCTTCTCCATCATGGTGGGCGAAAAAAATAGGGGCTCAGGACCCCCGGAGCAACTCCGCATTGAACTTGTGCAGCAGGGTCTGACATGTAGAAATCACACAGAAATCAATTCGAAGGTTCCTCTCTGCTCGAGCAGATCGCCTGCCAGTGAGGTGACGACAAACATCCTTTGTGCTTGGATTTAACCTGGCGAGAGCAGCAGGATTCTCAATTGCCTTCGCTTGAGGCTGAGCGCCTCGGAGAGAGCACGGTCTAAGCCAAGGCCCTCAAACTCCATGAGATACCTGAAACGACACCATGTCGCTGAGTGTGAGACGAACGCAAGAGGACGCCAGAGGCAAGCAAAGCCAAAGCAGGGCACGCGCAAACCAAGGCGGCACTTCGGGAGAGGCCCTGTGCCGAAGCAAAGCACAGAAACCACCAACAATTCAAATTAAGCAAAAGCAACAGAGGTCACCTCCCAGCCTGCACGCAATGCACGAGGACAACATTCTCGGAATTCTCCGAGTTGCGCCCCTTACTGAAAACCAAGTATATTTGTCAAGGAGCGAGGAGCATGCACCAAACAGTCCTGAAGAGCCGTGGAGATGTACTTCGTTGCTCCCTTCACAGCCTTGAACTTTTGCCTGGCTAAGTCAGGCCCACCAGAAAAGTTCGTCTGCCAACAAGTTGCTAGCACACGCGAAAGTGAAAGGATATCTTTCAGAGTGCTTACTGCAACATGCTCTGTTGAATGCAGTCCGGTCCGACCGAGTGAGGTTTCGCGTTTCCTCTTCCCGGTCTTGCCAAGGAAGCAGCAAGTACCTGTCGTGTCGACAAGTTCGTCGTCGCAAATTGGAGCACAGCAGCCTCACCAGGTCACTTGATGCCATGCGATTCATAGGCAGGCGGCACTTTTTGCGCCTGTTCCGCACAACAGGGCCTGCTGTGGTCCATGACTTACACAAGCCTCGATAGCGCAATTCACGATGTGAGTGATGCCCAACCTGCGGCGGAACTCCAAGCTGAGCCACACCCAAATGGACCGTTCGGGGAAGCTCCGGGAAGAGTGCTTTTTCAGCATTGGCCAATAGGCAGCGTCTGCCATGTTCCCAACGTACCTGCCCAACAAGAGAACGGTGATTTTGGCTACGCTAACCTCCTCTCTCCGCCGAGGCCGGTGACATCTCCCTTCTTCTGGCTCTGCCCCGCCGCCGTGGCGGCTCTCGATTCTAGTGGTAGAATTACTTCTCTTCCTCGCTCTTATCGAGGGCTTGAGGTCACATGTGGGGTGACTCCGCGGCCGTGTTGCTGTCGTGGATCGCCTCTGTTCTTGGGTCCACCGGTCCATCACCCTGTCTTCTACGGGTCTGTCATATGGTCTGTGCGGAGCTGCTAAAGCAAATGGAAAGGCAATCAATGGCTGGGCTGGCTTATGGGAGTTGCTTATGCCGTGGTCTGTCGTGTCTCTTGATTCTCTCGGTGGGTCGAATCGCGCTAGACTTCTGCAGGTGCAAGAGCCGAATGGGGACAATGCCACGAATGGACCCATCTTTGGTGACCATGCATGGTAGCCGCGACGGTGATTGACTGTTGGCGGGCACATCGCTGGCCCGCTCTCCTGGATCCGCCAAAAAAACTGGTCAAATCGCGACGTGGGTTCTACATCTGCCTGGTGGAGTCCACTTCGGACGATGACCAAAGATTTCAGTCTTCTCTACTCCGGACCGCGCGGCCAGGCTGCCGGTACCCGCCACGGATTTGGCTTCAGACCCGGCCGAGGGACATTGCGAGATCACCCTGTGTTGTGAGTGCATAAGACTCGGATTCTGAGTTTGAGGCCGAGAAGCCGCCCCTGACCCAAGCTGTGCTAAAGCCTGCTTGGATTGCACACGAGATGGTTGCCACGATTCAGCGACTTCCGAACCTTCCCGTCAGTTTACAAGCAGGTGATTGGTCTCGGGGCTATACGATGCTGCTACAAAGCACTCATGTTGAACTTTAAACCTACCTACTCCATCCTCGCTCGCTCAGTCACACAACTACGTAATGGCTGTAAAAACAAGTGGTCACAATCGAGGCCGGAGGAGGTCCGTCCGCAAGCCGGCCATGGTAGCCACGAAGCCCTCAGAGGCGTTGGCAATCCACGTCTTGCTGCCTGCACACCTATGCGTCCTCGTCCCGATATCCATAAAACTCGGCTATGCGTTGCTGGTCCTGCAGCAACAAAGCGAGTGGGAGCATGGATGCACGGACCTGTGGTGTTGCACTGGCACGGAAAATGTCGCTCAACTACTGCAAAACTGGATCTGCTGACGAAGTGTGAAACGCCTTCAAAGCCCGGGACCCATAGTGGGGAAGACGGTCGCAGTCGGCCCCGAGTTTTACAACGCTTCGCTAGTCAAGCAGGCCTGGTAGCTTCATGGCCAGCTCTTATGGTGCGGAACACGAAACCGAAAGCAACAAGCAGAGTCGGGGAAACAGCATCAAGTATCCGACATTTGGGAGTAAGGGAGAAACAAGAATAGAAGAAGGGACGAAAACACCTAGCAACCGCAGTAATATGTCACGCCATTGCCTGCCGAGAGGCCCGGACACCAGCAGGGGGAATTCAATGGCAATTCGCAACTGATCACTATGTCACGTCAATTGCCGAGTGGGAGGAGGCTGCATTGTCTTGATTTGCGCGCAGGCCACCGGTGTATGACTCAAAGCAATAGCCCTACTCAACCGTGTTGCAAGATGCGGCCAGCTCCCGGCATGATTTCTGAATTTTATGGAGCTTTCTTGCTGACTGACTTTGTGTGTGCTGACTTCACAAACGGTTCTCAAATTACATCACTGTGAATCCGCCTGAACTGATACATGAGTGACACAAGAAATTTGAGATGTTTTCTCACGTGCAACAAGCGTTAGTTCATGCTGACTCACACATCCTCTTGTTGCTTGTACACAGAGACCTTACGCAGGAGCGCCGACAGAAACCTCCGCAACTTCATGCAGAATCATCAGGAATTCAGCACTCTGGCAACTTGTCCTAAAATAACAACTCTCTCTCTCTACACGGCCAGGAGAAGGCAGCGGTCCAGGTACCCCCTCCGCACGCGCACGCGCACCCGCAGTTCATTGCAGGGTTTTGAAATTCCACTAAGGGAGGTGTCCCCCCTGTGGCTCGGCTATACATGGGCTGTTTGCTGGACGCACCCCTTTGTTGTACTTTAGAGTTTGAAACACCGTACCAACAAATACACAATGCAAAAACACTCTGAATCACTCTGAGGCTCAGGCCGATGCAAAGGTTCAAGACAAGTCGCAACAAAGTCAGCCCCCACTAATGCATGCTCACAAAGACGACCCCGTGCATGTTTCATGACCATAATGGGTGTCCAGCATCCCCGCTGCCTAGTGAGTTTTGCTCCTCCCACCTGAAGGAAAAACTGCACAAACTGTCCGAAGTGTGTACTCACCGGCATATGAAATACTACAGAACGCGTCAAAATACGGGCCTGCTTTTTTTTTCGCATGCAATGTACAAGCTAAGGCATGCTATATGTGTATATTTTTCAACGGAAGTCGATTATGACTATGCTGCACATGTAAAAATGTACAATTGGAACGTGCTTTGTCGAAGTTCGACTTATTACAAATGTACATGCACTGACCAGTTGTCCAATACAACATAACAGGTTTTTTTGTGTTTGTATACACAGTAAGGAACATGATAATCTACATAC